CGGGTTCTAGTCCTGGCCGGGACAAGGCGTTGTGCCCTTGAGACGTCCGGGGAAAACAAAAATGCGAGCTCCGCTTTTAGGCTTGGCTAAATCTATACATTAATCTACAATAGAACATAAATAAGTTTAGAATTAATATTACTTCAAGATTTTAAATACGTCATATTGAGTAGTAACATGCGATCCCGTCATCGCAAACATTTTGATGTCAGACAAGAAGTAATTAAAACAAACCCGCCTGTCCGCCGTAAAGGCATACTTCTGGACCCCCCCCCCCCTCCTTCCCCCGTCTTAATAGACCAGCTGATGATCTCACTGTACTACCACGCAGACAATGACAATACAGCTTAGAAGAGGCTTCGAGTACCTTTACTTTTTCAAGGTATATTTATTAAACTCTTCAATATTACCTTTAGGAAACCTTCCTCGACTCAGACATATGTAATATGAAGAGAGTTGACTAGGAATGGGTCATTTGATTACCTTTTTCCGTCGCGATTTTATTGCGCGAGTCGTTAGGAAGCCAAGAATTGCAACAGAAATGATGAAGAATGCCATGAACGATGCCACAAAATATTTTCCTTGCTCGTAAATTACCGCTCTGTATTCAGTGACATGAGCGTTTCCGAGATCTATGTTGAGAAGGGGAATGGAGACGACAATCACAAACACCACGCCGATCAACCAGATCAGGAAAACGCACAGTAAGGCTTTTCTGTTGCTTTTCCAGATGCTGTACTTCATGTCATAGGAAATGGCAAGGAAAATATTAACGATCATCGCCAACAGCGAGGTAAGGTTGATAGCGATGTAAACTCGGTCAAAGAAACTTGTCATGATTGCCAAAGTCTTCCCTCGAAACCAACGGGCCTCTAAAACGGTGTACATCGTGTAAAGAGGCACACAGATGATGGCATTGACCAAGTCAGCCAGAGCGTGGTTGGAAAGGAGAATGTTTGGAACTGTTCGTAACGATTTGAATCTGGCAACGACTACAATAACAAAGCCATTACAGCAGGCAGACACCAAAGTTAACATGGTGGCCAACCCGCTCATTATCAGCTTGGTGAAGAGCGATTTTTCCGAGTACATTTCGTTAATTTTCCTTGACGATTTTTTATAAAAACACCTTTGATGGTTCACGCTTGCTCATTCGTGCAAAGCAAGTGAAGGTAAACTTTTTTCCGTCCTATTATATGACAAGGGATCTGTAATCAAAAACAAAAACGGTTCTCTTATGCAAAACGTCTAGACCTTCTATTTTTGGATGTTAAAAAGAGTCCTGATTAAAACTCACAATCCTTAAAAAAGATAGCTGGATAGCTTTGAATGTGGCATTTTGAAATTTTTATTTATAATCATATGCTAGATAGCGGCCGCGGGCATTCAGATTTCTAGTTATCAAGAACAAGCAAACTACAGTCTGACGCAAGTGCATTTTTCACGATAAACCTTTGAGTGAATAAGGTATTTAGAGGTATTCAACACTTCCCTAATGACTTCCTATGTTCAAATCCGCTTTCAAAAGTGATTATCTTTCTACAGTTTTCGACCTGATATTTACCAGGCTCGAGCATACCTAACTACTTTATAATTAATATTTGGTGCGGTGATCATTTGATTTTCATGAAGAAAAATGTTTTGGTTATCAAATAGAAAAAAAATTGGCGCCTACTGGTATTCTTTTATTGAAATGTGATGGTTGAGCTCCGTCTTTTGTCACGTTCTTTGGCACGATTCCTTTTCATCAAAGAGTATTTTCCATGGGAACTAAACAAACGGCGGAGGAAAAAAAAATACATGGACTGAAATCGTAGCTTACCGAAAAATGCTAAAACTGAACACGATTCGCTGTGGATCGTTCTGCTCGGTTCATAATGGGACCTCTCATCATTTTATTGTTTTTTGTTTTTTGTTTTTTTTGGTTTGTTTGTTTGTTTTAGCTAAGAGCACACAAAAATATTTCTGAGAGATAGCTAACAGTGTCAAAGCAGTTTTTCAAAAATGGTTTTAGTCAATCGAATCATTTTTTTAATATTGTTATCACTTTTCAAGTATTGTGGCGCATCGATTTTGGTCGAAAGTCGAGGATATCGGGTCGAGGGCCGAGGCGTGGGAGTTTTTATTCATTTGCTTATTTTATTTTTGGGGGGAAGGGCGAACAGCGATGGCGGCTAGTATGGCTTGGTAAAATTCTGCGAAAACGTATTTTAAAAGGAATCATGATCGCTCTCGACAGAGACTAGATGTTCCAGATCTTCTTACTTTACTGATCTTTATGGCAATTCATCCGCTGTTCAAAAATATGATATTTTAGTAAATAAACCCCTTCAGGCGGCTGGTATGTCGGATGTTAAAGTCTGCGGCTGAGATATTGTCCGATAAATGAATATTTGACCGAGAAGCAAAGCTTCGAGGGCAAACGTGAGATTTTGAGGACCATCTCTTAGCTGAACAGTTACGAAACTTCTGTAAATAACACCTGTAGTAGTTCTGAAGCCGGTGGCGAGGCACATGTAAGCTTTACGGCTTCAAGCCACACGCACCTAGTTCAACCCCCAAACTGCCAGTTTACTGATCGCACAATTTTAATACATTAAAACTTCAACAGCGTATGATTTATCGAATTCTCCTTTCATATCTTTTGAAATTCAAATGGAAAGATTTTGTAATTTCTCGCCAGCTTCTTTTGATGGTGTGATTTTCGTTTATAGCAAAGTTTGGATATAATGCGCGCTGTCATTGGTTGAAAGAGCGTCTATCATAGTACAAACATGGAGCTGGGCATTAGCTGTTACGCCATCTGCCAATTAATACAATGTCCGTCCATTTCCCGGACTTCTCTCCTGCTTTTTTTCGTTAATTGAAAGTGAAATTTCGGAACAAGTGAGCCGACAAGTAGCAAAAGAAGAACCAAACAAAGGTTTGTGAACATGCCAAGCGCCGTAATTGACGTTATTACAACGCGAGCACAGACGAAAAGGCTCAAAGAGAAAATGAAATGAACAGTCCGAGTTTTAAAGGTTTTCACACTCGGTTCGATTGTAAGCTTACGGTAATAAACATCAAACACCGCTAACACTCGTATAGTATATATAGCTTCGTGTTCGAAAACAAAACAGAACAGAACAAAATGTTAAAAAAAAACGAGGCGTTTCTAGCGTTAACTGGGACCCTGTTTGTATACGTGACTGAGTGGTTTCCTGCGTGAAAGTCTGCAAGTCTCGAATCAAGTCCGATTTACTGGAGCCTTGCATATGATTAATCAATATACTTAACAAGGATTGCTGATTATTTATCACGCCCATTAGTCCCGGTCCGTTTGGTAAAACATCTACCGTTACAACGAGAAAATTTAGCTTGAAAACAATTGAATAAGCCGATTCAATCTCACTTTTTTTACCTTTAGGTTAGGTGCAAGAGTTTTGTCGACCTAAAAGGCTGTTTTCAGTAGAAGCAAATGACATAGTGATAACTTCAGCGAAAGTCAACAACAGAGTCAAGTAAGGAGTTGTTTTCCGATCGGTTGTGATAGGAGCCGTATATACCTGGAAGTACCTGATTCATACATAGGTTTATCACTAAAATGCACCTGTCTCAGTCTATAGTTAGTGCATAATAACAAGAAATCTGAATACCCTGTATCTAACATGTGATCATACGTAAAAATTTCAAAACATCGCATTCAAAGCTAATCAACCACATCTCTACCTTTTTTTTTAGGATTGTATTAAAATTACGACTATTGAACATAAAAATAGAGAACTGGCATTGTGTATGATTAGAGATCCCTTCTCATATAATAGGCCGGAAAAGGTGTCCTTTTAGTTTCTTTGCAAGAATGACCGAATGTAAGCCTTGAGAAGTGCCGGCTTTCTCCCATAAAAAATCATCGAGGACAACTGACGAAATGTTTGTGGTAAAACTGCTCTTCTGCAAGCTGATAATGAGCGGCTTATCCTTCATTTTAACTATGGTGTCTGCTTGTGGTCTTGAGTTTGTTGTTGCAGTCCTTGCCAAATTGAGATCGTTACGAACAGTTCCAAACATTCTCCTTTCCAACCACGCTCTGGCTGACTTAGTCAATGCCATCGTCTGTGTGCCATTTTACACGATCTACACCGTTTGAGAGGCCAGTTGGTTTCGAGGGAAGACTTAAGCAATTTATGACAAGTTTCTTTGATCGAGTTTACATCGCTATTCACCTTAGTTCGCTGTTGGCGATGATCGTAAATATTTCCTTGCTATTTCCTACGACCTCAAGTACAGCGTCTGGAAAAGCAGCAGAAAAGCCTTATTGTTGATGCCCACTGCCTGCAAACCTCGAAACACTGCGCAGGCTCGACTGCTGATAAGTAAACAAACGCTCTCGAAGAAGAATGACGAAAAACAAGTTGATAGACCGTGTTAAAAAATTTGACGCGTTTTCACCGATTTATTAAACTATAATGCGTACTCCAATAAAAAGAGAAGAAATATACTGCACGAGCCAAGCGAATGTGAAGGTTAAATTCAACAATTACTGACAAACAATGAGGAATATTACGCGGGAATGATGCCATCAGATTCAAGAGGGCGACGTAGCGCTCGAAACACGTCCATTTTGACAAGGTATCTACAACAGGACCAAAATGCAGCCCCGTCTTAAAAGAAATGCCCCATTGCCACATGTTTATTATTTGAAGATAGGAGAAACACGCTCGCTAATGTTCCTTGTTTTATTGCCTTCCTTAACGATTCTTAGAAATGTTACTATTTTTAAAACTGTCATTCATCTGTCTTTACGATGAGCGGTTTTATTTCGAAAAATAAAACACTTTGGCTTTGTTAGGAGAATTAAAAGATGATAAACATCATTAATAAGTGAAAGGGGCAAGCTCATGGAGGATAAATACGTGTTTTCTCTCTACATTCGAGCAATTAAACGCCGTGATGTGATTGGTTGCATTTCTCTTGTTGCGATGATGTAAAGCCTTAGAAACCGCTCCTGTCCGCCAGTTAGTACTGTGTTGTTCCTTATCGTGCTTTCGCACAAAATTTTTATTTTCAGTTTGATTTTTTTAAGTTTTCCTCCTTTTATACATTTAATATGGCAACGTCTTCGACTTCTACTTTTCTCTCTGACCATTCAATTCTAGAATCACTGCCAAAGCTACGACCATTGGAGCTCAGTAACGAAGAAACGTGCTTCTCAGACGGTGAATTCACCAACGAATTTAATAGTTGTGTTTCCACTCATCTTCAAACCTTAGCGGCGAAAGACAAAAAAATTAGTGAATTTCTCCCCATCTGGGAGGCTCAAAATAGGATCAAGTCTAAAATGGAAACTTTCCTCAAAGATAAAGCCGCTAAAGTGCGAAGAAATGAAGCCGATAAAGATGAAGACGACGATAATGACGACAGCGAAGAGAGTGATTCTGGCGACGAACAACCAATACCAGTCGTTTTTGGTCCTTTATTGATCTCGAAGAAAGATATCATGACGAAAATTGAAGTCCGTTTGTTCATTTTTAATCTCTGGCTTCGAAGAATAGAACTTATACGACAGATGGATACAAAGAAATACAACAACCTTCAAGATTTTGAACATGCCATATATCACGCCCAAGAAGTAACCAAAGATTACAGAGAGTTTATTCACAAGCAATTCTACGACATGGAACTACGACAGATGCTGCCTCACCACGAAGAAGTCCACGAAAAAGCGTGGGATGAAACCTTGGAAGAAAAGGAGAAAGCTGATTTTGAAATGTTAGATGAAGATCTAGAAAGTTTTTTCTCCAATGCAGCTCGCCTATGTGCTTTGCTCGGCCTTCGACTCGACTTCCTCGACCGCCTGAAAGAAATACCACCAGAAGACTGCGACCATCTTAAGGTATGTGACTGGATCATAACTTTCTTACGAAACAACTATGAATCAGCTAGTCCGGCGAACAGAAGCTCTCCCAGCAAGGAATTGCTTGCTTCTATCGGTTTTGATCCTCTCGGTTCATCTGTTGAAACCATCATGGTGCGCGCCGGAAGTACGCAACATCACATTGATGCGTGCGAAATGGCAGAGATCTTTATTAGAGACCAGTTCAAGTACAACATTTTGCTCTCTCCTGAAGTTTCAAGATTCCCTCTACTAGGAAATCATATAAATATATGGTTTCAGCTCCCCGAACAGACTAACGATGAAGACAACTATAATATTCCCGTTTGCCACGTCAACATCCTGAACCTCGTGACAGTACAATCACTCGCTTCTAGTGAAATTCGTTCGATTCTAGGCGGCTTAGTGACAAAGGACAATCAAAACACTGTTCTATTTCATGGCACAGATCATCAAAGCGCGTGCGACATTTTATTTCGTGGAATAGATTTGTGTCAAGGACGACAAAAGCGAGACTTTAGCTGTGGATCAGGGTTTTATTTGACTGACGATAGCGAGAAAGCTTTGAACTGGGCAAAGAACACAACAGCGAGGCCAGCTTTGTTAGTTTTTCAAGTGAATCGACAGGAACACTTAGATAATGCAAAGAAACTGAACTTGTTTGAAAACGATAAAAAATGGCGCGAGATTGCGTCCTCATTTCGATCGGGGAAGAAAACCGCCAAGACACGAAAGAGCTTATGCGCGTATGACTTGATTGAAGGGCCAGTTGGGACAATGAGAACGAAAGACTCAACTAATGAGATTATGTTTGAGCCAAAACCTTCCTCCTATCAAATGTGTTTGATTTCTGACGACTTTGCGGAGACTTTCAGAAAAACGCTTCATTCGATTATATTTCTAGACATTTGATAAAAGCAAGGTGAACAACGAAAACAGATTTAACTCAAAGAAAACAAAACATGCATGTGTGTCATTTTGTATTGAGTTGACACGATATTAGGGCAGATGCGTTAAGTATGCTTATCGAGGCATTTATTTTTTATAGAACATTGAACTTTTGACAGATGTAGTGCGAGTAGGTCTTTCAGGATGGAAAAGACTCAACTACGAAATCGCTAATTGTTGCATTTGGGGCCGATCCAGTGCAAAGTTAGATATTTGTTCTTTACTCTTAATTTGGGAAGAAATATATCCTCTCGCATTTCAGAGGTAAATTTTACTTTTCCATGGCGAAAAAGAATTTCGATGGGACTTGTTGGAATAGAGGTGTAAGATATTGAATAATTTCTGTTTAGAGATGAGCTTAATTGCCTCTTGTTCGCTCCATTTTGTTCTTGTATATAATGACTCATCAGGAATGTTACCCATAGTCAGTTGACGAGATGATAACATCAATTCTTGAATCACAAATGTTCAGCATGTCATAATTCATAGAATACTTTGCTTGTTTAGAATTCAGCCAGCCTCAAAAGAATTCTGGTTCATATCGTAAGAGATTGTGTAAATTGTGTACAGACTTTAAAATTAATTTTTGCTTCGTCACAAGTTCCGCCCAAATTTTCATGTGTCTGTCACAGAATGATGCATGATAAACGAATTAAGTCAAAACTTGAAAATATTTTTTTCAGAACACCTGATAAATAACCTGTCTGCTTTTTTTTTTTTTTTTAGGTGTAGCTTTTTCAGCTCGGTTTCGAACAGAACTCGATCATTCATTGTCGAAAGACGATCAAAATGTTGTCCTATTCCATAGCACAGATCATCAGAGCGCCTGCGACATTTTTTGTTGTGGAATAGATTTGTGTCAAGGACGACAAAAGTGATACTTTAGCTGTGTATCAGAATTCTATTTGACTGACAATAGTGAGGAAGCTCTGAACTGGGCAAAGAACACAACAGCGAGGCCGGCTTTGTTAGTTTTTCAAATAAATCGACAGGAGCACTTAGATGACGTAAAGAAACGGAACTTGTTTGAAAATGATCAAAAATGGCCCGAGATTGTGTCCTCATTTTGATCATGGAAGAAAACCTTGGTTGAGGTGACATGATATTAGGGCAGATGCGTTAAGTATGCTTATCGAGGCATTTACGCACAATTCTGGATTTTTATATAACATTGAACTTTTGACAGATGCAGTGCGAGTAGATCTTTCAGGATGTAGAGGAAAGTCAACTACGAAATTGATAATTGTTGCATTTGGAGCCGATCCAGTGCAAAGGTAAATATGTGTTGTTTACTCTCACTTTGTGTAAATCTATATCAACTTACATTTCAGAGGTAAATTTTGCTTTTCGGAGAAAGAACTTCGGTGGGCCCTGTTGGAATAGAGGTGTAAAATATTGAATAATTTCTGTCGAGAGATGAGTCTCTTGTTCTCTCCATTTTGTTCTCGTATAGTGATTTATCAGGAATGTTACCCGTAGTTGACGAGATGATCATATAAATTCCTGAAATACAAATGTCAAGCTCGCCATAATTAATAGAAAGCTATACTTGTCTATAGTTCAACTAGCTCTAACAGAATGTCAGTCTATGTCACAACAGATCGTGTGAATTGTGTTCAGACTTGCAAATATGGTTTTGTTTATAAGGAAGTTCTGTCATTTTGAAAGGCAAATCCATCACAGAAGATCTTGGTTATAATGTTTAAATCAAGAATTCAATAAAATATTTGAGTTTACACGACTACGATCTTTCTTGAAATTGGCACCATGAAGTATTGCCGCACTAGCCGTTGGTCTTTTATTAATCCCCGAAATTTTCATGTGTCTCTCACGGAATGATGCATGATGAACAAAATCAGTCAAAACTTAAGGTCCATTCGTTCTTCCCCACTGAACATCCAATTGATAAACTGTCTGCTTTTTCAACGAAAATCATTGCCAGTTTGCGGATCCCTATGTTTCGAGCAAAACTCGTCTATAATAAACTGGTCCTTATTGCCACATGTCACAGCGTTTAACAATATGGCACAAAAGCTTGTTATGATGGGGAATGTTTCTCTTGAAGATTTAAGTTCGTTTTCCTCGCTGAATTCAGCCGAGAGCCACGCGATACAATTTGCAAACCAAACTGTTACAATATGTTGATCTTCATGATATGCATGCCTAGACCTAAAAGCAGACCAAACCGAGCGGTGAGTGTTCGCCCTAACGGCTCCAACTGCCATTTTCTTTCCCCGCGATTACCTGCTAATGGTTCGCCGAGGATGAATGATAAATCTAATATCAGGTTATAGGAAGAAACTATTATGGACACCATTGATATTAAAAAATTTAGTTTAATTGGTACATGAATACAGAATAAAAATTCCATGAGTAAAATTTCGTAACACCCTAGCTGTTTCATATTTCGAAATTTCAAGAATCATTTATTGTTTGGTTCACTAAGAGTAAGTACTCAACAATTTTTACCTACTTCTCGGAAAAGACTACAGAATGAAGGCCACGGTCAAAGAGCTCGACGCAGCTTTGCGTTCGAACGCACAGCTGATAAGAATCATCTTTCTGACGGGGATACGAAACACTCGATGAATTCTTTTCTGAGATCGAAGCCATCGGTCCCTCGATAAACTGGTACAGGCGATTCATTTCTTTGCGGTACTTTGAATTTAACGTTCCATTCCTAAAGTTCTTAATCACTTCTTGCCATTCTTTCTTCATATCTGGCGCTCCAAGATCATAGCCTTTCTCGTTATCATCGCCTCTTAATTCAGTCTTCTTTAGTCGAAATACGAGCACTGCAGAACTCTTGCTTCTATGTCCAGCCCACCTCAAAGCATCATCAAAATTTTTGTTCAGATAAAAACCATCTCCATCGCTGAAGTCCCGCTTTCTTGCACCTTTCCCCAAGTCAATCCCACCTTCAATTATATCTTCAGCGCTTTCGTGAGATGTACCGTGAAAGAAAACTTCGAATTCGTCATCTTCTAGCGAATCTGGAAAAGCATTTTCGACTTGATTTTGTGTCCTGTAACACTTCCGCGCGAGCCCAAATTTATCAACATTTATTACTTTTACTGCCTCGCCTCGCTCTGGCCAATCGTCTTCAGGAGGAAGATAAAACCATTCATTGACAGTGTCCGCTTTGTATGGAAAGCGGCTGTAGTTGATGAAAATGCTCGGACCATAATGTAACACATATTTTGAAACGGAGAACTTGAGATACGAGGCGAGATCACACGATGCCACAAACGGATTTCCGAGGTTCGCCCGGCCCAGCCATCCTAGAATCGCAAACAGACGATTTTTCGTTTCTTCGTAATCTTTCCCATATTCTATTTTCAGTTCATTTCTCAAATGGACCGCAGAAGTCATTTTGAAATACAAAGATACGGGTGTCTCATGCTCTGCTGCCATCGTCTCTCAAACGTTTTGCATATCAAATAAGCGCGACATGATATTCTGTGGTCTTGACCTCTGCGAATTCCTAGAAATCTACCCAAATTCTGAGAAATCACATATGCGAACGCTTAGGAGACTTGAACTTTTAATCTTTTAGAGCTGCTTATATTTACTCAAGTTGGAATTTTTTATTCAAATAAGCGCGGTGGCTTTACCCTTTTAAAGAATCTAGCTTCAAACATCCACAGCCTTTCTATGATTCTATGTAATCGTGCAACATAATTAATTGGTTGCAATTTGGAACGTTCAGGGCCGAAATCTAATGTATTACGATAACAATTCCCTTTGTGCGGTTTCAATCACGGAAGTCTACATTCTCTTTACGTTGAACAGGTTTGATTCGTTCACAATAGTTACCATTACCAATAGTAATGCGCTATTTGGTTTATATTTTCAAACGTTTATCAATTTCAACCGACTTCTACCGCTTTGCTTTTATGTAATCTCGATGAGGGAATTTTTATACTACCCCAAAGTTTTGCCTTTTCGGTAGTAAGGTTCCTTTGGGCTTTTAAGAATGGCATTCGTCAGTAACCATGTATACAACTTCAAGAAAGCCGACTTGCTATAGCCAAAGTAGGTTTAGGACATCGTTAACTGAGACTGAAATGGTTTCATCGTTGCGACGTCATATTCAGGAATAGAGGAAAATCCCACTGTATTTCGAAATGTTGGAAAGAAGCAGCTTCAATGGGCTTTTTCGAGAAGTATCTAACATATGCTCCTTTCTTGGACTTCGGCAAACCTTCGTCCTCGACAAACTGGAGAAAATATCATCCGAGGACCGCGATCATCAAAGTCTTTGCGACTGGATTGTGACTTTTGTACAAAATAGCTTTCAATCTGTCAGCTTAACCGATAAACGTTCTCCCAGTGCGGAATTGCTTGCCTCAATTGGGTTTGATCCTCGGAGTTCAGCCGTTGAAACTATCGTGGCGCGCGCACGAAATACGCAACATCATATCGATTTGTGCGAAATGGCAGAAATTTTCATCAGAGACCAGTTTAAGTATAAAGTTTCTCCATCGTCTGTGACTTGTATGTTCCCCTTGCGAAGCAATATAACAAATACTTGGTTTCGGCTTTCTATATTTTCCTCTGATGTTGAAATCGTTGGAGGTTCAGAGTGCCACGTCGACCTAATAAACCTTGTGACGATAGAATCCCACGCTTACAGTATTTTGCGAACGGAACTCGGCAATTTATTGTCAAAAGACGATCAAAATGTTGTTCTATTCCACGGCACAGATCATCAAAGCGCCTGCGACATTCTATTTCGTGGAATAGATTTGTGTCAAGGACGACAGAAGCGAGACTTCAGCTGTGGATCAGGATTTTATTTGACTGACAATTGCGAGGAAGCTCTGAACTGGGCAAAGAACACAACAGCGAAACCAGCTTTGTTAGTTTTTCAAGTGAATCGACAAGAGTACTCGACTGATTCAGAAAAATTGAATTTGTCTAATGATGAACAGAGATGGTGCGAAATTGTGACTTCGTTTCGGTCGGGTGAAAAAACAGCGAGGACTCGAAAGAGTTTAGCCGCTTATGACTTGATCGAAGGTCCCGTGAGTACAATGAAAACAAACGAATCGACAGGGGAGTTAGTTTTCTCGCCAAAACCTTTATCTTATCAAATGTGTTTAATTTCTGATTCCTGTGCGGACATTTTTAGACGAACTCTTCACTCTATTTTATTTTTCGACATTTGTTAAAGTTAAAATAGTTTGAGAGGAGGGCAGAGCTTGATTAACAAAAGCAAGATAGCTCCCTTCCTGTGTTATGCTCTCACTATATTTATATAGCGATGTTTGCATTTTCCTGTTTTACTTACTAACTCCTTTTCGCGTCTCACTTGTCAATTTCGTTAATTTGAGTGCAATTTTCTAGAGGGCCCCTAGTTTATCAGTTCACACTGCTATACATGCACCCTCGTTAAATATTGTTATCATTATAATTACAGAAAATTATGTCTTTTTTCGGAAGAGAGTGCTCACTTCCAAAGAAACATTATCTAACTGAGTAGAACACGGCAGAGAATATTTGCATAGGCAATAGACTATTGATATCAAACCAAAAAAGCAATATCTAAAGTCTTTAATATGACATCAACGAATGCATGAAGCTGAAATCCACCATTCATGCGTTTCAAAACTGTAATATTGGCATGAACTGTTCATCTGAGGTAATTTAGGTAAGGGAAGTGCGTCAGTCAGAAAACAATGTCTTACCTACTTCTTTTCAGATTAATTCGAGCCAATATTGTGCCTATCCCTGTATAATCTACATTTAGAGATCTGTTTGGGTAAAGCTTTTTAATACCATTTTGAAAATAATTGAATTAGGGGCCACATGCAATTTTTTTGATGGTAAATCTAAGGTGGGTAGCTTTCGCACAGTTACAGCTGATATTATTGCTAAGGTTCGATGGGTAACTTATTATCCTACAGACTTTTTAAGTATTTAACCACATACCACGAATCATTATAGAAAGGAATGAAATATCAAAATCATAGTGGAATAAAACCTTCGCGGAATCCACCGAGGTTGATTATAACTATTATGTAATGAGGCGTCTTCGAAATCATGGGGTAACTTTGAGTAATGTCTGTTTGATGACTGATGAAAGTATTCGAGTTACTGTTTGGGTGAGTAAGCTCTCTGGATGAAATTTGCTCTCATTTTGTTTATATCATGACAAAGTTTTTGCCCTACGAAAACAATAATTTCATAGAGGAATTGCTTTTGGAGGCTTTAAACTTTTATCATTTCACCCAAGTAAAGTATATTCAGTTGCCTATTTTTCGCAAGTAACATCGACTTGATTCACAAGAGAAAGAGAGAGAATGGTTTTTGTGGCAAATTTTTAGACCAGATTGTATTATCGATGCAAATACTAATTGTGTGGAGGCTGTTGGCGAATCATAACAACAGTTGATTTCACAGTTTTCATAAAAATACGTTATCCAACAATATCGATATATTACAAATTGTACAGCAGATTCTTCCTTAAACAGGTCAGTTTATGATCCTCACTCGCTCTACGATATGTCTAATAAAAATTTTCAAGCAAAACGTTTTCAACTTGTTTCAATTACTAGAACGCATGACAATTATTTATGCTGTGCATTTCTTTTTAGATTCATGACATATTTTCAGTGTTATAATGAAACTCTTTACAAAGCAACCTCCACAAATCTTGAAAATTTTGGTTATTTCAGGATTCCTATTTTCTTTCATTTGTTTGGAGGGAAGATGAAGTCAATCGGTATCTACAAAATGTAGATATAAAAATAGATGACTGGCATTGTGTATGATTAGAGATCCCTTCTCATATAATAGGCCGGAAAAGGTGTACTTTTAGTTTCTTTGCAAGAATGACCGAATGTAAGCTTTGAGAAGTGCCGGCTTTCTCCCATAAAAAATCATGGAGGACAACTGACGAAATGTTTGTGGTAAAACCGCTCTTCTGCAAGCTGGTAATGAGCGGCTTATCCTTCATTTTAACTATGGTGTCTGCTTGTGGTCATGAGTTTGTTGTTGCAGTCCTTGCCAAACTGAGATCGTTACGAACAGTTCCAAACATTCTCCTTTCCAACCACGCTCTGGCTGACTTGGTCAATGCCATCGTCTGTGTGCCATTTTACACGATCTACACCGTTTGAGAGGCCAGTTGGTTTCGAGGGAGACTTAAGCAATTTATGACAAGTTTCTTTGATCGAGTTTACATCGCTATTCACCTTAGTTCGCTGTTGGCGATGATCGTAAATCATGATATTTCCTTGCTATTTCCTACGACCTCAAGTACAGCGTCTGGAAAAGCAACAGAAAAGCCTTATTGTTGATGCCCACTGCCTGCAAACCTCGAAACACTGCGCAAGCTCGACTGCTGATAAGTAAACGAACGCTCTCGAAGAAGAATGACGAAAAACAAGTTTTGATAGACCGCGTTAAAAAATTTGACGCGTTCCTGTCCGCCAATTAGTACTGTGTTGTTCTGTATCGTGGTTTCGCACAAAATTTTTATTTTCAGTTTGATATTTTTAAGTTTTCCTCCTTTTAGACATTTAATATGGCAACGTCTTCGAATTCTACCGCGACCTCTAGAAGTGTAAGATATTGAATCATTTCTGTGGAGAGATGAGCTTAATCGTCTTTTGTTCTCTCCATTTTGTTCCTGTATAGTGACTTATCAGAAATGTTACCCGTAGTTGACGAGATGATTAAATTAATTCTTGAATTATGAATGTTCAGCTTTCCATAATTCATAGAAAACTTTGCCTGTATAGAATTCAGCTAGCCCCTAAAGAATTCTAGTTTATGTCGCAAGAGATTGTGTAAATTGTTTACAGACTTTCAAAAATAATTTTTGTTGCTTCACAAGGTCTACTTATTGAAAGACAAACCCATCACGAAAGATCTTAGTTTTAACGTCTATATCACGAATTCAATCAAAATAAGTGAGTTTTAAACAACAATAATTTTTCTTTGAATTAGCACTATGACGTATTGCCGTACTAGCTGTCATTAACCACCGAAATTTTCATGTATCTGTCACAAAATGATGCATGGTAAACAGTCTAAGTCAAAACTTAAGAATCTTTTTTTCTTCCCTCGTGTACGGAACACCTGATTAATAGCCTGTCTACTTTTTCAACGAAACTTGTGGTTGTAAATCCTAATGTTAAGAGCAAAACTCGTTAATTAAAAAGTGACCCTCACTCCCACTTTAGCAGCTTTGAACAAAAGCTTGTTATGACGGGGGGTATTTCTCTTCTAAACCTAAGTTCGTTTACCCTGCTGAATTCAGCTAAGAGCCACGCCACACTTCGATAGAAACCAAATCGTTACAATATGGTGATCATGATGATTTATCTGCCCCCCTTTTACAAGTAGATCAAACGGTAAATGTTAGCACCTGACACCCGCCATTTTATTCCCGCGCGCCGGATTATCCGCGAATGATTCTCCTAGGATAAACAATCGATCTAATGTCATGTTCCGTGAGGAAAGTGTATGGACACCATTGCTATCACAAAATTTTGGTTTAATTGGCATAAGAATAAAGAAAAAAATTTTCATGAGAGAGATTTCGTAACAGAGTGGCTGGTTTTAAATGTCCACAATCACAAAGATGTCAAATATTTCGTTAACTAAGAGTACTTGCTTTATATATTAGTTACCTACTTATCGAGGAAAACTAAAGAATGAAGACTATAGTCGAAGAGTTCGGCGCAATTCTTTTCTCGAACACAAATCTGGTAAGAATCATCTTTCGGAACGGCAAATGAGATGTTTGGATTCTTCCTCGAAAGAGAAGCCATTGGTCCCTCGATAAATTGGTAAAACCGATTCATCTCTTTGCGGAACTTTTTATCTGGCTTTCCACTTCGGAATTGCTTGATCACTCCTTGCCATTTTTTCCTCTTAGCTGGTTCTCGAAGATCATAGCCTTTCTCGTTATTATTACCTCTTAATTCGGTTCTCTTTAATCGAAACACGAGCACTGCAAAACTGACATGTCTATGTCGGGCCCACTTCAAAGCTTCATCAAAATGTTTGCTCAGATAAAAACCATCTCCATCGCTGTAGTCCTGCGCTTTTGCACCTCTCTTCAAGTCAATCCCACTCTCAATTATATCTTTAGCGTGTTTTTGAGATGTACCGTGAAAGAAAAGTTCGTATTCGTCATCTTCTAGCGAATCTGGAAAAGTATTTTCGACTTGATTTTGTGTCCTGTAACACTTCCGCTCGAGTCCACATTTATCAACATTTATTACTTTTACTGCCTCGCCTCGCTCAGGCCAATCGTCTTCAGGAGGAAGATTAAACCATTCATTAACAGTGTCCTCTCTGTATGGAAAGCGGTTCAACTTGATGAAAATGCTTGGGCCATAATTTAACACATATTTTGAAACGGATAACTTGAGATACGAGGCGAGATCACACGATGCCACAAACGGGTTTCCGAGGCTCACCCGGCCCAGCCATCCTAGAATCGTAAACAGACGATTTTTCGTTTCTTCGTAATCTTCCTCATATTCTATTTTCAGCTCATTTCTCCAAAGGATCGCAGCACTCATTTTGAAATACAAAGATACGGGTGTCTCATGCTCTGCTGCCATCGTCTCTCAAACGTTGTGCATATCAAATAAGTGTGACATGATATTCTGTGGTCTTGACCTCTGCGAATTCCTAGAAATCTACCCAAATTCTGCGAAATTACATATGCGAACTCTTAGGAGACTTGAACTTTTTGATCTTGTAGGTCTGCTCATAAGGTTAGAATTTTTTCTTCAAATAAGCGTTGTAGCTTTAGCCTTTTAAAAGAATCTGACTTCAAACATCCACAGCCTTTCTATGATTCAATTTGATCGTGCAAGATATATAATTGGTTGCAATTTCGAACGTTCAGGGCCGTAATCTAACGTATTACAATAACAATTTCCTTTTTACGGTTTCAATCACGGAAGTGTACATTCTCCTTACGTCGAACAGGTTTGATTCGCTCACAATAATTACCTTTACATCAAAATTTGCGGATTTCCATTGGTTAATCCTGCCCAGGTTGGCGTGTTTCCAAAGCAAATGTCTGACCTTGCCTAAAAAGAGATGAATAAGTAATGCCCTATTTGGTTTATATTTTCAAACGTTTATCAATTTCAATCGACTTCTACCGCTTTGCTTTCATGTAATCTCGATGAGGGAATTTTTATACCACTCTAAAGTTTTTCCTTTTTGGTCAGTAACGTTCGTTTAAGCTTTCAATAGGGGCCTTTGTCAGTAACCATGCATACACCTTCAAGAAAGCCGACTTGATATAGCCAAAGTAGGTTTAAGACCTCGTTTACTGAAACTGAAATGGTTTCATAGTTGCGACTTCATATTTAGGAATAGAGGAAAATCCGACTTTATTTCGAAATGTTGGAAAGAAGCGGCTTCCATGGGCTTTTTTGGAGAGGTATCTTACGTGATTTGCTCTTTTCTTGGACTTCGGCAAAACTTCGTCCTCGACAAACTAGAGATAATATCATCTGAGGACCGCGACCATCAAAGTCTTTGCGACTGGATTGTGACTTTTGCACAAAATAGCTTTGAATCTGTCAGCTTAACCGACAAACGCTCTCCCAGTGCGGAATTGCTTGCCTCAATTGGGTTCGATCATCGGAGTTCAGCTGCTGAAACTATCATGGCGCGCGCACGAAGTACGCAACATCATATCGCGGATTTGTGCGAAATGGTAGAAATTTTCATTGGAGACCAGTTTAAGTATAAAGTTTCTCTATCGTCTGTGACTTGTATGATCCCCTTTCGAAGTAATTTAACAAATACGTGATTTCGACTTTCTATATTTACCTCTGATGTTAAAATCGTTGGAAGTTCAGAGTGCCACGTCGACCTAATAAACCTCGTGACAATAAAATCCCACGCTTACAGTATTTTACGAACGGAACTCGGTAATTCACTGTCGAAAGACGATCAAAATTTTGTCCTATTCCACGGCACGGATCATCACTGAAGCGCCTGCGTCATTTTATTCCGTGGAATAGATTTGTGTCGAGGACGACAGAAGAGAGACTTTAGCTATGGATCAGGATTTTATTTGACTGACAATAGCGAGGAAGCAAAGAACACAACAGCGAAACCAGCTTTGTTAGTTTTTCAGTTGAATCGACAAGAGCACTCGACTGATTCAGAAAAATTGAATTTGTTTAATGATGAACGGAGATGGTGCGAAATTGTGACTTCGTTTTGGTCGGGTGTAAAAACAGCGAGGACTCGAAAGAGTTTAGCCGCTTATGACTTGATCGAGGGTCCAGTAAGTTCAATGAAAACAAACGAATCGACAGGGGATTTGGTTTTCTCTCCAAAACCTTTATCTTATCAAATGTGTTTAATTTCTGATTCCTGTGCAGATATTTTTAGACGATCTTTTTATTCTATTTTATTTTTCGATATTTGTTGAACTTAAAATAGTCTGAGAGGAGAGAAGAGCTTTATCAACGAAAGCATGATACATCCCTTCCTGTGTTATGCTCTCACTGTATTTGTAAGTCCATAAGATGTTAACATTTTCCTGTTTTACTTTCTAATGCCTTTTCGCGTCTCATTCCTCAATTTTGTTATTTTGTGTGCAATTTTCTAGAGGGCCACTGGTTCATCGGTTCACACTGCTATATACGCCCTCGTTAAATATTGTTATCATTATCATTAGAGAAAATAATACCTTTTTCGGGTAGAGAAGGCTCACTTTCAAAGAAAGTGTATCTAACTGAGTAGAACACAGCAGCGAATATCTGCATAAGCAACGAACTATAACTATCAAACCAAAGTAGCAATATCTAAAAACTTGAATTTTGGCATAAACGAATGCATGAAGCTGAAATCTGGCATTTATGAGCTCAGTAAGACTGTAATATTGACATGAACTGTTCATTTATGGAAAGCTTTTTTATTTTGCTTATTTCATGACAAAATTTCTACCCCGAGAAAAGAATAATTTCATATTGGAATTGCTTTTGGAGGCTTTAAACTTTTATCATTTCACCCAAGTAAAGTATATTCAGTCGCCTATTGCTCGCAAGTAAAATCGACTTGAGTCATAGGAAAAAGAGAGAGGATGATTCTCTGTGGCAAATTTTATACCACATTGTATTATCACTGCAAATACCGATTGCCTGGAGGCTTTTGGCGAATCATGACAACAGATAGCCGATTTCAAAGTTTTCATAAATATACTGCAACAATAAAACCGACAGATATATTCAGTTAGCCTACAATATCGAAATATTATAAATTATACGGCAGATTCTTCCTCATATAGGTCAGCTTACGATCCTCATCCCTATGATATGTATAATGAAAACTTTCAAGCTAAACGTTTTCAGCTTGTTTCAATTACGAAAACGCTTGAGAATAATAATTTATGATGTGCATTGTCTCTTAGATTCATGACATGTTTTCAGTCATCTGATGAAACTCTGCGAAGCAATCTCTACAACTCTTTAAAAATTTGGTTACATCAAGATTTCTATTTTCTTTAATTTGGACGAAGGGAAGATGAAGTCAATCAGTATCCACAAAATGAAGACAGCTTCAGTTTACATATTGCATCTCATTCAAGCATGACTTTCTTAAGCTTGTTGACATGATTCATAGTTCATAATCTATTTATGATCGGGAAAGTGAAACGACAAAGTCAAGCAAATTAGGGTTTTTTCGCTACGTGTATATTGCAGTCAATTGACAGAAAAGGAAGAACTACCGGTTTCGTTTCTATGACTGTGGATGACCGACATAGGGATAAAAGTTCTCGAAGGCTTGTAGCTTAAACTAAGATGATCAACGCGTCAACTACGTAGAGTTTTTTAATTGCTCTCAATAACTGACTCTCGTTCGTGGCACTGGTACTCACGTGCGCGCGTCAACAGATTCATAGTTGTTTCGAAGGAGAGATGGTCGCGGTCTTCTGGCGGTACATCTTCCAAGCAGTCAAGGAAGTCCACAAGAAGACCTAGCAAAGCACTAATGCGATCCCAATTTGAAAGAAATCTCAAGGCGCCATCTTCCAACATTTCAAACTTAGATTTTTCTTTCTCCTTTGACGAGGGAACTTTTCAGGCGATCTTATTGCTAGCTTTTCCCTATGGAAGTGGCTTCGTTTGTGAATAAAGCTTCGATACTTCTTGATAATTTCTAGGGCGCTAAAAATGGCACGCTCAAAATCTTGGCGATCATTATACCTCGGTGAGCCAGAGCTTACATGTGAGCGACTGTACTCCAAGTTGCGTTACTAGAGTTATTTCTTCCTGAATTTCAAGCATTTCGATAGGAATTAAAACTTAAATGATGCCATCAGACAAAAAAAAATACCATTGCCACATGTTTATTATTTGAAGATAGGATAAACACGCTCGTTAATGTTCCTTGTTTTATTACCTTCCTTTACGATTCTTACAAATGATAATATTTTTAAAACTGTCATTCATCTGCCTTTACAATAGGCATTTTATTTCGAAAAACAAAACGCGGTGGCCTAGTTAGGAGAATTCAGCGATGATAAACATTAATAAGTGAAAAGGACAGGCTCATGAATGATAAATACGTATTTTCTCTCTACACTCGAGCAATTAAACACCGTAACGCGATTGGTTGCATTCTCTTGTTGCGATGATGCGATTGGTTGCATTCTCTTGTTGCGATGATGCGATTGGTTGCATTCTCTTGTTGCGATGATGTAAAGCCTTAGAAACCGCTCCTGTCCGCCATTTACCACTAAGTTGTTCCTTAACGTGCTTTCGCACAAAATTTTTATTTTCAATTTGATATTTTTAAGTTTTCCTCCTTTAATACATTTAATATGGCAACGGCTTCGACTTCTACTTCGCTATCTGACCATTCAGTTTTGAAATCATTGTCAAAACGCAGTAACAATGAAACGTGCTTCTCAGACGGTGACCTTACCACCGAAATTTATGATTGTGTTTCCACTCATCTCCAAACCTTATCGTTTCACGAATTTCTCACTATCGGGAGGGCTCAAAACAGGATGAGCAGGAGAAATGAAGCCGATGAAGAAGAAGACGACGATGATGATGACAGCGGAGAGAGTGATTCTAGCGAGGAACAACAAATACCAGTCGTTTTTGGTCCTCCCACGATCTCGAAGAAAGGTATCATGACGAAACTTGAACTCCGCCTGTTCATTTTTAATCTCTGGCTTCGAAGAATAGAACTTATACGACAGATGGATACAAAGAAATGCCATGGCTATCAAGATTTTGAACATGCCGTATATCACGCCCAAGAAGTAACCAAAGATTACAGAGAGTTTATTTACAAACAGTTCGACGACATGGAACTACGACAGATGCTGCCTCACCACGAAGAAATCCACGAAAAAGCGTGGGATAAAATCTTGGAAGAGAGGGAAAAGACTGATTTTCAAATGTTAGATGGAGATCTAGACAGGTTTTGTTCCTATGAGGCTTGCCTCTGTGCTTTGCTCGGCCTTCGGCCCGACTTCCTCGACCGCCTGAAAGAAATGCCACCAGAGGACTGCGACCATCTTAAGATATGTGATTGGATCATAACTTTCTTACACAACAACTATGAATCAGCTAGTCCAGCGAACAGAAGCTCTCCTAGCAAGGAATTGCTTGCTTCTATCGGTTTCGATCCTCTCAGTTCATCTGTTGAAACCATCATGGCGCGCGCAGGAAGTACGCAACATCACATTGATGCGTGCGAAATGGCAGAAATTTTTATCAGAGACCAGTTCAAGTACAACATTTTGCTCTCGCCTGAAGATTCAAGATTCCCTTTGAAAGACGATTACACAAACATATGGTTTCAGCTCCCCGAACAGACCAGCGATGAAGAAAATGATAAAGTTCCAGTTAGCCACATCAACATCCAGAACCTCGTGACAGTACCATCTCTCGCTTCTAGTAGCATTCGTTCGATTCTCGTCGGCTTAGTGACAAAGGAAGATCAAAACACTGTTCTGTTTCATGGTACAGATCATCAAAGCGCCTGCGACATTTTATTTCGAGGAATAGATTTGTGTCAAGGACGACAGAAGCGAGACTTTAGCTGTGGATCAGGATTTTATTTGACTGACAGTAGCGAAGAAGCTCTAAACTGGGCAAAGAATACAACGGCGAAACCAGCTCTGTTAGTTTTTCAAGTAAATCGACAGGAGCACTTAGATAATGCAAAAAAACTGAACCTATTTGAAAATGATCAAAAATGGCGCGAGATTGTGTCCTCATTTCGATCAGGGAAGAAAACCGCCAAGACACGAAAGAGCTTATGCGCGTATGACTTGATTGAAGGGCCAGTTGGGACAATGAGAAGGAACGACTCCACGGATGAGGTTACGTTTGAGCCAAAACGTTCCTCCTCTCAAGTGTGTTTGATTTCTGATGACTTTGCGGAGACTTTCAGAAAAACGCTTCACTCGATTATATTTCTAGACATTTGTTGAAATCAAGGTGAACAACGAAAACGGATTTAACTCAAAGAAAACCAAGAATGCATCCGTGTCATTTTGTACTGAGTTGATACGGTGTTAGGACAGAAGCCTTATGCTTATCGAAGCATTTACCCGCGTTTCAAGATTTTTATAGAACATTGAAATGGTTAAGTAGTTGCATAATGGGCTGATCCAGCCCAAAGGTCGATATTTGTACTTTAATTTCACTTTGGGACGATTCATATCGTTTTTCATTTCAGAGGTAAATTTTACTTTTCGGTGGCGAGAATAGAGGTGTAAGATATTGAATTATTTCTGTCGAGAGGTGGGCTTAATCATCTCTTGTTCTCTCCATTTTGTTCCTGTATAGTGACTCATCAGAATGTTACCCGGCCGTAGTTGACGAGATGATAAAATCAATTCTTAAATTACAAATGCTCAGCTTCCCATAATTAATAGATAACTTTACTTGTTTAGAATTCAGCTGGCTCCAAAAGAATTCCAGTTTAAAGATTGTGTAAATTGTGTACAGACTTTCAAAAATAATTCTTGTTGCTTCACAAGTTCTCCTTATTGAAAGACAAATCCATAACAGAAGATCTTATTTATAACGTCTACATCACGAATTCAATAAAAACAACTGAGTTTTGAACAACTATGATCTTTCTTGGAGTTGGCAACATGACGCACTGCCGCACTTGCTGTTGGTCTACCATTAACCACCGAAATTTTTTGATGTGTCTGTCACAGAATGGTGCGTGATAAACAAAACAAGTCAAACCTTAAGAACCTTTTTTCTTCCCTCGTGTACGGAACACCTGATTAATAGCCTATCTGTTTTTTCAATGAAACTTGTGGTTATAAATCCTAATGTTAAGAGCAAAACTCGTCAATTAAAAGTGACCCTCACTGCCAAAAGAGCCACGGGATGCAATTCAAGACCTTCGATAGAAACCAAATTGTTACAATGTGGTGATCATGATGATCTATCTGCCTCGCTCTTAAAAGCAGATCAAACGGTAACGACTACGCCCGCCATTTTCTTCCGGCACAATTATCTGCGAATGATTCTCCGAGGATGAACGATGAATCTAATGTTAGGTTTTGTGAAGAAAGTCTATGGACGCCATTGCTAACACAAAATTTAGTTTAATTGGCATATGAATAAAGAAAAACTTTTGATAAGCAAAGTTTCGTAACAGAGTGGCTGGTTTTAAATTTCTACAGTCACAAAGACGTCAAATATTTCGTTAACTAAGAGTACGTGTATTGGTACCTACTTATCGAGGAAAACTACAGAATGAAGACTGCGGTCGAAGAGTTCCGCGCAAATTTCCTCTCGAACACAAAGCTGATAAGAATCAACTTTCTGATCTGGAGTAGAGCTTTTTGGTTTCTTTCGTGAACGAGAAGCCATTGGTCCCTCGATAAACTGGTAACGCTTTATCTTTTTGCAGAACTTTCTCTCTGGTTTTTCACTTCGGAATTGCTCAACCACTTCTTGCCAATCTTTCTTCTCAGATGGATTTCGAAGATCATAACCATTTTCATTTTCATCGCCTCTTAATTCAGTTTTCTTTAATCGAAACACGAGCACTGTAGGACCGTGGCCATGTCTTTGTCGGGCCCACCTCAAAGCTTCATCAAAATTTTTGCTCAAATAAAAGCCATCTCCATTGCTGAAGTCCTTCCCTATTTCACCTTTCTTCAAGTCAATCCCATCCTCAATTATATCTTTAGCATGTTTTTGAGATGTACCGTGAAAGAAAACTTCGAATTCGTCATCTTCTAGCGAATCTGGAAAAGCATTTTCGACTTGATTTTGTGTCCTGTAACACTTCCGCTCGAGTCCACATTTATCAACATTTATTACTTTTACTGCCTCGCCTCGCTCAGGCCAATCGTCTTCAGGAGGAAGATTAAACCATTCATTAACAGTGTCCTCTCTGTATGGAAAGCGGTTCAACTTGATGAAAATGCTTGGGCCATAATTTAACACATATTTTGAAACGGATAACTTGAGATACGAGGCGAGATCACACGATGCCACTAACGAGTTTCCGAGGTTCGCTCGGCCCAGCCATCCTAGAATCGTAAACAGACGATTTTTCGTTTCTTCGTAATCTTCCTCATATTCTATTTTCAGCTCATTTCTCCAAAGGATCGCAGCACTCATTTTGAAATACAAAGATACGGGTGTCTCATGCTCTGCTGCCATCGTCTCTCAAACGTTGTGTATGTCAAATAAGTGTGACATGATATTCTGTGGTCTTGACCTCTGCGAATTCCTAGAAATCTACCCAAATTCTGCGAAATTACATATGCGAACTCTTAGGAGACTTGAACTTTTGATCGTGTAGCTCTGCTTATAAAGTTAGAATTTTTTCTTCAAATAAGCGTGGTAGCTTTAGCCTTTTAAAAGAATCTGGCTTCAAACATTCACAGCCTTTCTATGATTCAATTTGATCGTGCAACATATATAATTGGTTGCAATTTCGAATGTTCAGGGCCGTAATCTAATGTATTACGATAACAATTCCCTTTTTGCGGTTTCAATTACGGAAGTCTACATTCTCCTTACGTTGAACAGGTTTGATTCGTTCACAATAATTACCAATACATCAAAATTTGTGGAATTTGATTGGTTAATCCTACCCAGGTTGACATGTTTCCATAGCAAATGTCTGACCTGTCTTAAAAAGAGATGAATAGGTAATGCGCTATTTGTTTATCTTTCAAACGTTTATCGATTTCAATCGACTTCGACTGCATTGCTTTTCTGTAATCTCGATGAGGGAATTTTTATTCTACCCCAAAGTTTTGTCTTTTCGGTCAGTAAGGTTCATTTGAGCTTTTAAGAATGGCATTCGTCAGTAACCATGAATACAATTTAAGAAAGCCGACTTGATACAGCCAAAGTAGGTTTAGGACATCGTTAACTGAGTCTGAAATGGTTTCATAATTGCGACGTCATATTCAGGAATAGAGGAAAATCCCACTGTATTTCGAAATGTTGGAAAGAAGCAGCTTCGATGAGCTTTTTCGAGAGGTATCTAACATTTGCTCCTTTCTTGGACTTCGGAAAAACTTCGTCCTCGACAAACTGGAGAAAATATCATCTGAGGACCGCGACCATCTAAGTCTTTGCGACTGGATTGTGACTTTTGTACAAAATAGCTTTGAATCTGTCAGCTTAACCGATAAACGTTCTCCCAGTGCGGAATTGCTTGCCTCATTTGGGTTTGATCCTCGGAGTTCAGCCGCTGAAATTATCGTGGCGCGCGCACGGAATACGCAACATCATGTCGATTTGTGCGAAATGGCAGAAATTTTCATCAGAGACCAGTTTAAGTATAAAGTTTCTCCATCGTCTGTGAATTGTATGTTCCCCTTGCGAAGCAATATAACAAATACATGGTTTCGGCTTTCTATATTTTCCTCTGATGTTGAAATCGTTGGAGGTTCAGAGTGCCACGTCGACCTAATAAACCTTGTGACGACAGAATCCCGCGCTTACAGTATTTTGCGAACGGAACTCGGCAATTTATTGTCAAAAGACGATCAAAATGTTGTCCTATTCCACGGCACAGATCATCAAAGCGCCTGCGACATTTTATTTCGTGGAATAGATTTGTGTCAAGGACGACAGAAGCGAGACTTCAGTTGTGGATCAGGATTTTATTTGACTGACAGTTGCGAGGAAGCTCTGAACTGGGCAAAGAACACAACAACGAAACCAGCTTTGTTAGTTTTTCAAGTGAATCGACAAGAGCACTCGACTGATTCAGAAAAATTGAATTTGTTTAAAGATGAACAGAGATGGTGTGAAATTGTGACTTCGTTTCGGTCTGGTGAAAAAACAGCGAGGACTCGAAAGAGTTTAGCCGCTTATGACTTGATCGAAGGTCCCGTGAGTACAATGAAAACAAACGAATCGACAGGGGAGTTAGTTTTCTCGCCAAAACCTTTATCTTATCAAATGTGTTTAATTTCTGATTCCTGTGCGGACATTTTTAGACGAACTCTTCACTCTATTTTATTTTTCGACATTTGTTAAAATTAAAATAGTTTGAGAGGAGGGCAGAGCTTGATTAACAAAAACATGATAGCTCCCTTCCTGTGTTATGCTCTCACTATATTTATATAGTGATGTTTGCATTTTCCTGTTTTTACTTACTAAAGCCTTTTCGCGTCTCATTTCTCAATTTTGTTATTTTGAGTGCAATTTTCTAGAGGGCCTTTAGTTTATTAGTTCACATTGCTATACGTGCACCCTCGTTAAATATTGTTATCATTATAATTACAGAAAATTATGTCTTTTTCGGAAGAGAGTGCTCACTTCCAAAGAAACATTATCTAACTGAGTAGAACACGGCAGAGAATATTTGCATAAGCAATAGACTATAGATATCAAGCCAAAAAAGCAATATCTAAAGTCTTTAATTTGATATCAACGAATGCATGAAGCTGAAATCCACCATTCATGCGCTTGAAAATTGTAATATTGGCATGAACTGTTCATCTGAGGTAATTTAGGTAAGGGAAGTGCAGTCAGTCAGAAAACAATGTCTTACCTACTTCTTTTCAGATTAATTCGAGCCAACATTGTGCCTATCCCTGTATAATCTACATTTAGAGATCTGTTTGGGTAAAGCTTTTTAATACCATTTTGAAAATAATTGAATTAGGGGCCGCATGCAATTTTTTTGATGGTAAATCTAAGGTGGGCAGCTTTCGCACAATTACAGCTGATATTATTGCTAAGGTTCGATAGGTAACTTATTATCCTACAGACTTTTTAAGTATTTAACCACATACCACGAATCATTATAGAAAGGAATGAAATATAAAATCATGGTGGATCAAAACCTTCGTGGAATCCACCGAGGTTGATTATAATTATTATGTAATGAGGCGTCTTCGAAATCATGGGGTAACTTTGAGTAATGTCTGTTTGATGACTAATGAAAGTATTCATGTTACTGTTTGGGTGAGTAGGCTCTCTGGATGAAATTTGCTTTCATTTTGTTGACATCATGACAAAGTTTTTGCTCTAAGAAAAAAATAATTTCATAGAGGAATTGCTTTTGGAGGCTTTAAACTTTTATCATTTCACCCAAGTAAAGTATATTCAGTTGCCTATTGTTCGCAAGTAACATCGACTTGATTCACAAGAGAAAGAGAGGGATGGTTTTTGTGGCAAATTTTAGACCAGATTGTATTATCGATGCAAATACGAATTGTGTGGAGGCTGTTGGCGAATCATAACAACAGTTGGCTGATTTCACAGTTTTCATAAAAATGTTATCCAACAATATCGATACATTACAAATTGTACAGGAGATTCTTCCTTAAAAAGGTCAGTTTATGACCCTCACTCGCTCTACGATATGTCTAATAAAAATTTTCAAGCAAAACGTTTTCAGCTTGTTTCAATTACTAGAACGCTTGACAATTATTTATGCTGAGCATTTTTTTTAGATTCATGACATATTTTTAGTCTTATAATGAAACTCTTTACAAAGCAATCTCCACAAATCTTGAAAATTTTGGTTATTTCAGGATTCCTATTTTCTTTCATTTGTTTGGAGGGAAGATGAAGTCAATCGGTATCTGCAAAATGTAGACAGCTTCAGTTTACATATTGTATCTCAATCAAGCATGACTTTCTGGAGCTTGTAGACATGACTCATAGTTCATAATTTATTTTTTGATCGGGAAAGTGAAACGACAAAGTCGAGCAAATTCGGGTTTTTCCGCCACGTGTATAATACAGTCATCCGACGGAAAAGGAAGAACTATCGATTTCGTTCCTACGACTGTGGATGACTAACACGGGGATAAATGTTCCCGGAGGCTTGTAGCTTCAACTGAGATGATCATCGCGTCAATTACGAAGCGTTAAGTTGTTTCATTGCTCTCAATAGCTGACTCTCGTTCGTGGCACTGGTACTCGCGTGCGCGCGTCGCGCAACACGCGGAGCTCTATTGCATAACGAGGCCTTCGGCTGAAATCGTTACCACGGAATATAAACTCAGTTTCTTCACATAATATCGGCGGTTCTTTTTGTAGAGTGTGTAGTTTGCCTCAACAGATTTTAAAAAATATGATTGAATGGAGAGTCTTTCGAAAAGTGTCTGCGAAGTCATCAGAATTCAAGCACATTTGATAGGAGGAAGGCTTTCGATCGTACACTGTCTCGTCAGACACTTCGTTCCTTCTCTTTCGTCCCACTGGCCCTTCAATAAAATCATACGCACTTAAGCTTTTACGAGTCTTGGCGGTTTTCTTTCCCGATCGAAACGAGGACACAATCTCGATCCATCTTTGTTCATTTTCAAACAGGTTTAATTTTTCTGCATGATCTAGGTACTCTTGTCGATTCACCCTAAAAACTAACAAAGCTGGTTTCGCAGTTGTGTTCTTTGCCCAGTTCAAAGCTTCTTCGCTGTGGTCAGTCAAATAAAATCCTGATCCACAGCTGAAGTCTCGCTTTTGTCGTCCTTGACACAAATCTATTCCACGAAATAAAATGTCGCAGGCGCTTTGATGATCTGTGCCATGAAACAGAACAACGGTTTTGCCGTCTTTGAGTGACATCAAATCGCTGAGCTTAGAGCAGATAGTGCCAGGAGCGAGGGATTCCTCCGTCACGAGGTTTAGAATATTGACTTGCCAAACCTGATTGGCAACTTCTTCTTTCAGGTCGATATTTCTTGGGAGCTGAAACCAGGAATTTGTTAAATTGCTTTGTAAAGGGAACCTGAAAGTCACTGGAGACAGCAACAGATTATATTTGAACTCGTCTTTGATATAAATTTCTGCCAATTCGCACACATCGATATGTTGATGCAGATTTCGTGCGCGCGCCATAATGGTTTCAACGGCTGAACTCAGAGGATCAAAGCCAATAGAGGCAAGGAATTCTTTGCTAGGACAGCTTTTGTCGACCAAGCCAACAGATTCATAGTTTTTTCGAAGGAAAGTCACGATCCAGTCACAGAGTGTAAGATGGTCGCGGTCTTCTAGCGGCACATCTTCCAAGCGGTCAAGGAAGTCTACACGAAGACCGAGCAATGCGCTAATACGATCCCTATTTGAAAGAAATCTCAGGACGTCATCTTCCAACATTTCAAACTTAGACTTTTCTTTCTCCTTTAAGGCTTTGGCGAGGGAACTTTTCAGGCGATCTCGGTAATTTAGGTCAGTTTCTAGCTTTTCACGATCGAAGTGGCTTCGTTTGTGAACAAAGCTTCGATACTCTTTGATAACTTCTTGGGCGCCGAGGATGGCACGCTCAAAATCTTGAAGATCTTTGTACCTCAGTTTATCTCGCTGCCATATGAACTGAATTCTACGAAGCCAGAGTTTACATGTAAGCGACTGAACTTCAAGGTGCGTCACTAGAGAAATTTCCTCCTGAATTTCAAGCATTTCGATAGGAACGAAAACCTGAAGTTTGCTTTCCTCCTCTTCAGCAGAGCCTTCATCTTTTCTGCCTTCCAGGGAAATCTTTATTTTGTCAGCTTCTTCTTTGAGGAATGTTCTCCTCGCAACCTCAATCCTTTTTGCAGCATATTGAATCCTCTCTTCTGCCTCGAGACGGGGAATTAGTTCTCGAAGCTTTTTGTCTTTCGGCGCTAAGGTTTTGAGATGAGATGAAAGGCATTCGTCGTACTTGCCATCAAGACGGGTTTCTGAGAAACTATTTTCGCGGCTACTGAATTCAACTGGCTGAAGTTTGGTCAATTCTTGATGTACTTGGACGGATGGTGACCCTGCAGTCGAAGAAGTGGCCATGCGAAATATCTAGAAAGGAAGAATCGAATGTAAAATCTTAGTAACTATCCTACATGTTGGAATAGAGATAGAATTGCGTCTCGTGATGGGAGTTTTGTGAACGACGTGTCCAATCAAGTTTGGCGTCAACAAACGTGGGGAGAAAACACATTCCTATCATCCCTTTCGTAGAAATAGGCTCTGTCATAGCCTTCTTGAATGACCATATCCATGACCACATAAAGAATTAAATTCTCTTGACATTGCAAAACGTGTCAGCCAATGAGGATATCGAGTGATCTCATTTCCGGTGGAGTGAATACACTCCAGCTTTTCTCGGAATCGAGCCAGTAGACGACTACTGACCCGGAAACGACCATTGCATGGGGATTTCATCATAATGCAAAAATATTTCATTCAAATAGGGATGAAAACATTCCATTTACAAACTTAAAAAAGTTCCTATTGAACAGATTAAGATTATGCGTTGGCGAGTGTTACGGCATAGTTTAACCGACAGAAAGAACACTACAGTCCTACAATTCCAACTACTTTATTAAATGATGAGTATGTTCTTAATACGGAGCGAATCCTAAAGGCAATACAGAAATTATCCTCAATAAACTTACTCCATAGGGTTTTTTGACCGCGCTAGATCTGGGTGCAAACATAGAGCGAGCTTTTAAAGTGTTAATAGGCAAAACAAATATGGCGGCTCGAAACGATCGCAAGATTTTATGTGATGGGATCCAGGTTATCCAGCAACTACACCAGTACAATTCATAGGTCCTCTACGTCTGAAAAAGAAGTCAACCGAAAAGAAAATACCGTGGGAAAAAATGCCAAAAGGCGACAGATTCGAAAGTTTACGCACGCTCAGATATAGATCTTGGCGAATTTCTATTCCATGACGTAATGTTTGGCGACAAAGAAAGTCGGGAGCTTATCGAGTAAGGTTTGTCGCGTTTTCTTCGGTGGAATTTCCTAGGATATGCTGGACCTTTAAACATATTTGTGCCCTTCCTGATGACTGGTGAGTAAAAAAAATTCAAAAAGACCAAATTTGAGATAGAGGAGGAAAATACAACATTGCAAAAAAGCGAGGAAACTCCCTTTATAGCCCCTATTTTTTCGGCTTTTAAATGATTGGCAGGACAAGTTTCCCAAATTGCGAAAATTTTGAGAGATTTCACGGAAGCAAATCGAAGAAAATTAGAGGCAAAACCAAATTATTACTTGCGAGCGCCTCCCTTCGTGGAGCCTTAGCTTAATAACGAAAATCATTTTGTTAATATTTACTACAGCAAACGATAGTCCAAACCTTGCTCATCGTCTTTTGGTGGCTTTTAGTGACCTTGAAAAGCCAAGACATAAAAACTTTCTGGAAAGACAGAACGCAGGCGCGCGTGCCAACTACAGACCACCACAGCCTATGACTTAACTCACCATTGACACAATCTCACAGTTGTCTCCAAATCTCCTCAAAATGAACAATCTTCCGCAATAGCTCTCTCTTTCGGTATAGCTTTCCAAACAATCAGTCACTCCTGACATCAACAATAATTGTTTATAATCACACGAATAATAACAAATTCGGGCGACCGCACAGCGGGAGTCCGATTTGTTTATCACGAGTATGATTACAGACCGAATTGGACGTCACGAAGTCTTATCAGCAATTAATCGTAAAAATTACAATTTCCGAGAAGAGAAGAATAGCTAAGTTAGGAAAGAAAATATAAATTTACATTAAAAGACTGACAAATGAGGCGTAAATTGTTCAATTTAAACTACACCTTTGAATGCGATTGGTTGATTTAACTACAACTTCGAATGAGATTGGTCGATTTAAACTGCAACTTTGAATTTGATTGGCTTATTGAACTGTCCGATGACAATCTATCCAATAACAAACTGTCTGAAAACAAACTGTCCGATAACAACTCGGCAAGTGAATTAGTGGAAAATAGGAGTTTTTTAAACCAATCACAATTAAGGAAATTGTAACTTTTAGAGTAAAATTGTTATCACTTTAAGTTATCAGTTATTGTGGTACATCGAGTTTGTTTTTCGTTCGAGAGTCGAAAATACCAGGTCGAGGGTCTCGGGCGACATGTCTCGGGTTTTGTAATAGAAAAGCGATGAAACGCTTAGGAGATTAAGACAAGTGTTTTCTGTTTAGTTCACACAGAATTGCTCGCTAATTATCACCTTTAAAAATAATAATAGACATAAAAAAATTTTAAAAACGGTCGTAGGAGTTTTTTTTTTTTTTTGCCAAACAGCGATGGCAGATAGTAAAGCTTGACAAAATTGCGCCATAACGTGGGAAAATAAAACGAGAAATCAAATTTGAAATTTAGGGATCACTCTCAACAGAGATTAGATATTCGAGAACTTCTCATCGTACCACTCTTATTGGTAATAAATCCGCAATTAAAGCACATGACATAGATTCAGATACAATCACACTCGTTCATTCATCACTTCACTGGTTTATTTCGAACCAACAAAATAACCAGCTCCCAGACTTCATTTTCACTGCTGCCGAAGTAGTGTTCATTGATCTTCATCTTCATTTATTTATTCGCAGTTCAAATATATGATATTTATAATGGTAATTGACCTGAGTGGAGGGCAATTTGGGCTGAAATCATATGCGTTATTTCAAAATTGAACGAGCGCGCAGCGCGAGTTCGATTTGAAATCACAAGTATGATTTCGGACCAAAATTGCTCGACACGAGGTTCAATTACCACTTTATTACATCCATTCTGGAATCACTCAAATACAGGACTTGGTCAATTCAAATATTTTATTGATGCAGTACTGAGCTGGTTTGAAATTAAATTCATCCATTTTTTGGGGGAAAAAATAACAGTTTTGGAAACAAAAGTAGCAAAATTTGCCACATGATACTCTTTGCCTCACATTTTGTTGCAATTTGATCGGCAACTTTAAACAAGCCTTGAAATTTGATTGGTTGTTTTGTTTTTAAAAAAGATGCGATTTAAAGCAAAGAATGGTGCGATTCGTGAACAAATCGCACCAATTAGAGCCAATCAGATTACAGGGACCACCAGTGATTTCAAAATGGGTGTAATAAAGGAAATAAAACCCTTCGGGCGACTAGTATGTCGGCTTATAATGTCCGCGGCTAAAATATTGTACGATAAATGAATATTTGGCCCAAAAGCAAAGTTTTGAGGGCCAAAGTGAAATTTTGAGGACAATCTCTCAGCTGAACAATTACGCGAAGCTTCGGTAAATAACACTTGTAGTCGCTCTGTGGCTGGTGGCGAAGTGCATGCAAGGTTTGCGGCTTCAAGGCCGAACGCACTTAATTCAACCAATTATAAACTGTCAGTTTTTGCAATTGTACAATTAATCATAAATGGCGATATTTTATAATTTTTCGCCAGCTTCGCTTGATGGTATATTTTCATTGAGGGAAAATAGAAGCCATCGAACTTATTGACGCACGTGTGATTGTTGAGACAGTTTTGTTGAAACTTTTTCGATCAATGCCCTCCAAATTGACAATAATAGTAATAGAGTTTATATTCTTGGACATAAAAATGTTTTGGGCCTATCTCAAAGCTAATTTTAACCTTCGCCGATCGGCACAGGCTGAAAGGAGTCTAAGTCGGAGCCAAGACATATTCATGCTCTATAACATAAACGCTATTGCGAACTATAAACATTAAAAAAAAATGAAAACTTAAAAACCCAAAACATCTTTCCCTACTTGAGCATCTGATCAGAACGCTAAGAGCATTTGTGGTAACGAAAGGAATCAATGGTTTCTTTTTCAGTAATTGCACGTAGGTACTGTAACAAGATTGGACATGATTGGCGACTTTGTCCCAATGCCGCTCGGATTTCTTCAGGCTGCGAAGGCTGGGGAAAAGAAAGCTAGTTTTGCCAATAATTATGGCAGGATTTCCCGGATTTACATGCTATATAAATAGGGGCTATATTTCACAAAGATCGTACAGAACAAAGCCTTGTGTTTTTTTTTTTTTCCATAAATTCCAGAGCAATATCTGCAGTATAAAATAGCGAAGTATAAGCCAGAGAGCACTATAAGGCATCAAGGCTGTACGGTAGGAGGCTTGGAAACGAATTTGCCTCGTTCTCGTGTTGATTATCTATTTCTATTTATCTGTTTCTATTCTGCAATTCTTCACGAAAGAGCATGCCTCCACTCAATCGAAAAAATTTTAAAACTCTCAAAAAAAACATCAAAAATATTTTTGAGCTATTCGTATCGATTTACGCCTGAGATGTCGAGAATTCCGTTTTTTTACCTATTTCTTCTCAAGAATTTTACATTACGCGATGCCTTGAAGGTATAAGTGTCTTCAACATGAAAAGATAAGCTCTCCCTGGGTAACTTGAATCCCGCTTTGAAGTGCCGTTTTGTACTCATCTGCAGAGTAGCTCGTCACAAACCAGTTGAAATTAAATCCTCTTTTTATTATATTTTGACCCGTTGTGATTGTTTAAGAAAGTTTCACCCCCAACAGACTAGAGATCAGTGGTTGAAGATCTTTAGCTAGTATCAAAATCAACAAATTTCCCAATTTTATTCCACTGTTTATTGCTTAAATCTCTGTTTTCATTTATTTCGGGTAATGAATCAGTGTCACTAAATATCCTTAGATTGACCATATTATTCCAAACTTTTCTTGTTTTTGTTATTGTTGATTGTTGCTGCTGAGATCACAATATTTCTGACGTTTCTACAGACACTTGCATTCATAGTGAGAAAATTACTTTAATTATCTGGCTCTTTTAGCTGAAGAAAGCAATAACCTTTCCTGGTTAATTAAAACATTAAACGTGGTCCCAGTTCCTTAATCCCTTAGCCAGAAACTGATGAAAAGTGTTGCTATGATCGACTTCATCTCGGCCAAAGCTCAGACGAAAAGTGCATAAACTTCAACGCATACAGTGCCATCATTATCTCCTTCGGTGGAGTTCATTAGATCCTCGCCATACCACAAGCGTAACTGTTGGTTCAAGGCAACGGGGGTGGGGTTGAGAGACGACAATATCAACTCTGGAGATAATGAGTTATATGTAGGAATTTTGGACCACTTAGCATTATCACGTACAATGAGCTGGCTTGGTGGCAAAATTATTTGGTCAGTCGAGGTTGTTATGACAACATTAACCGATTCCCGTACCAAGGCATTCGAGCCACAGCCCCAGTAAGACCAATAGGAGACTTGTCGTGTGTTACACGTTACATAACCGTACAGGTGAACCAGCTTTACGGCAGCCAGCCTTTTAGAACCAGTTTTAGCCGTAAAACTGCCAAATCGGTTGTTCTTGGCGCCGAAACAAACTGGAGAGGTATTTTGCTTGTGCCAAAAAGCTGTAGAATAAATAAAAAATCATTTTTTACAAAAAATGTTGTTGTTCATCGTGGTTTTATAGATAAATGAATATTTAATCGTTTGTCTCACGATGTAAGAGTCAAGGTAATAAAAAATGAAGATCGCGACGTTTCAACTGCGATACTGCTAGTCTTCCTTAGGCGACGAGGTCGAAAGTTTAAGTGTCGCTATTCATAGCAGCTTAGTTTGTTTTCATTGGTGTGTCCATTGTCAGCAGCATAACAGCCGCATTATCTTGGCAAGTGACGCTAGAAATATACTTTAAAGATCAGAGCTAATGCCCAGAGGTTATATTTGATGCCACTAGAGAACGGCAATAATGCAAGTTGTGCAACTTGTGCAACTTGTGCAACTTGTGCAACCAATTAATATCGACATAGCAACCTCCCGTTGACAGAAACAAAAGGGTTATCAACTATATGAACGGTACTAGGTTAAATTTTCCTGGCACTGAAATAGTTGCTTAAGTCCAATCAGCGATTATAAAACCTGACCCTGAGCAAATGAACACTGTGAGAAGATGTGTAAACTGATTTCTGCAACAAGTTAAACCACCTACGCCCAACATCGCGAATGAAATGCCAAAAAGCCCTTAAAGATCTTAAACAGGATGAAACTATCGAGATCCTACCAGCCGACAAAGGTCGTATCAACGTAGTTCTAGATGACGACACCTGATATTATAAAATGAAAACATTGATCAAGACAGGTGTAATGTCGTATCTTAAGTATGCATTCATCATGGGAATTGATCGGCACGACTGCATCACTGTATGTTAACTATGAATATTAATGTTGTGAAATATATTTAACTGATATGAATATTAATCTAAGTGTGTTGTAAGTCGTGACCGTATAACTGGAAAAAATGATAAACTTGACATTTGTCAAGAGGATTTAAAGGATATATAGGATTTCAAGGATTTCAAAGATACGGTTTAATTTAACCGACAGAATGAACACTATTCTCCAACAAACCCAACTAATGTATTAAAAAACTTGTAATATTCTTACTAAGGAGCAACTCCTAACGGCAGTACAGTAAACTTACTAAAGCATTGACAAAAACTATTTGGCGCAATTGTATATGGGCGTGGCATTAAGGAATAGGACAAAGGTCTTTTTGCTTAGATGATGAGTGGGGTGGGGTTAACAGTTCTTGGCGACAAGTGCGAGTTCAGAGGTCCAAACTTCCAGAATTGAGGAGAGAGAGAGAGAGATTGTTTCTAATGAAGAGGTTCGTGAAAGGGACTGGTGAAGGGAGTTCAAAGGAGAGGCGTACGTTGACGAGAAGAGAAGCGCTGTTTTAAAGTCTCCTAAAATTGGTGATGTAGTGCTCCTGAGGGCGGAGAAAAATAACAAACTGCCAAGTTTTTCCCCCATGGTCCTGTAAAAGCGGTTCACAAGATGGAAAGTGAGAGCACGGTCCGGAATGACTTAGGAGTGGAACTTAGGCGCAATTCAGCTTTTTTTTTAAAATTGCCATACCCCAGGAAGGTTCCAACAGCTCGGTAGAAAACGGAGGAAATGGAAATGCTTTTGCAGACGCTGGGAAAGAACATGGGAAAGGCACATCGGACGCGGAAGTAAACATGGAAAATGAACGAGTAGATGTTGGCTATAAGGATCAAGAGATTCGACAGCATCAGGAGATGCGGGGGCCGATGCGTCAGATTCGAAGATCAGCAAGATTTAAGGGCTTTGTTTTGAACTAAGAAGTATTGTAAATAAGGATTTGGTTTCATAGCGACTGATCTACTATTATAAGTCGTGAAGGACGCTTTTGTGCTATTCTTGGAGTGCATGCCTATTTTTGTAAATATTTGGAGTTTTGTTAAGTGCTGGACGATAAAGATCATGTTAAGTGTCCTTGTGAGATAAGGAAGGAATGCAGTATCGTATCTTAAATTATGCACTCATCATGGGAATAGACGGGCATAACTGCATGCCTATAAATAAAATTGTTGTGAATTGTATTGAAGTGATGTGAATATTGATTAAAGTTTGTTGTAAGTGGTGACCATATAACCGGAATACTGAGATACATAACAACAGATTCCTACCAACTCCTCAACAAAGACTCACGAAAACTCACTGATAAAATGCTCACCTAAAAACGAAGTGGCCATCTGTCGGAAACAATATACAACAAAATCATACCTAGGCACAAACGGCCACTTGGGATCTTCGGCATATCTAAGATACACAGAGCTGGGATACCATTAAGATCCATTGTATCATGCGTAAACACCTCGCTTACAACCTGTCTGCTTAGTTAGCTGAAATCCTGTCTCTACTGACGGTAAACCCTTTAACTCCCATGGGAGACCAAGACATAATTTTTCCCTACAATATCCATAGAATTTCAAGCAGATAAGTGATGAGATTAAAAAGAAATATTAATTAGGGGATTATTAGTTGATCCAGTAACAAATTCTCCGAACTTAAGTCGTTAGAATTGTACAGCATCCAGTAAGGAGAATTACTAATGAGATATTGAGAGTGAAAAGGTTAAGTCAAATTACAAGGTCACCAACCCTGCTTATTTTATGTCCACTATTAGCCACCAAGAATTACAAGTCAACAAAATCATGGTTTTCTTCGACGTAGAATCGCTTTTTACTAACGGGCGTTACGCAAACTTCCCCGCTGTAGGATGATTCTTGTCTTGCTGAACGTGCGACAACTTGCACAAACTACCGACCTCTTTATATTAGGGTGATTTGTTATTATCAACCGAGTTGATAACGTAAATGGGCTAACGTAAAGATTTTCAAAGTTGACGTTTCAGGCGTTGGCCAACGTCAGAGCATCATTATCATCATCATTCATTCTCCGCGGTACACAATTTTTCCTGACTTCCTCTTTACACAAAACAACTACATGCAATTTACGTGAGAAATTGAGGAAGACTGAAAACTTCCCTTCCTGGACTTCCCGGTAGGTCGTGACGAGGACACTGCGAACATCAATTGACTAGAAAGCGACGCATACCGACAGATTAATGGATCAGTTATCCCATAATGGTGTATATAAGTGACGCTTTGGACCAAGACTTACGCCTGTGAATTCTCTCAAACATTGGCTTCGGTGTGAGCGTGTGGTGAATGAGATCATTTTATTTATTTTGAATCGGCCTATCAAACTGTTGTGACGCTAAATTGTCCTCGCTGTAACGGTAGATGTGTCCCTAAGCGCAACGGCATCGACCGTGTGACCAACTGGCTGTATAAACAGCCTGAAACTATAATTAAGTATATCAATTAAACATATACGGCTCATGCGAATCGGACTTGAATCGAGACTTGCAGAATTCCATACAGGAAACTGCACAGCCGTGCAAAAACACGTACTGCGCGAGTAAATGACTAGAGCACTTCGTTTTAAAAGCAATCGGTCTGACACAAGGAAATGAGTAAACTTACCTTCAGCACTTCTCTTCACGGCCAACAACTCAAGAATTGAAACGGACAAGAAAATGAAAATAGATTTCATCTTACTGACTTCAAACAGAGCGACTGGTGTTCTATCCTCCGCCACGAGTCTGCAGTAACTGTATCATGCATCGTGATCCTATCATAGTATATCTACTTTCAAAGGGCATACCAATATATCGCGGTATCAAAGTCGTCTGTGATTGGCTGAAACTATCTGATTGGAATCGCACTATCGAGATCAATGTTCACATCTTCACTCCAGAATTCTCGGACGCCTTTATCCTTATACTGGCTGGACGACGATAAGGAACCACTTCCGAATCTGAGAGACCAATACTGTATTTATATAGGTGGCGTTAAGAGAATCAAGGGATGTTGGCCATTTAAACCGAGATTCCTGAAATTCGGGCGTAAACAGCTAGTTCTGTGTTTCTGTTTACAACCATAGAAATGCGTTTTGAGTTTGCACTCCCAGTTTTCTACCGCTACCAGACTCTTTTTAAAGTAGAGACTAATTTATCGCTTCGTTAAAATTTTCACTTTTTACACGCACAAGCTATGAACATTCTGTTCAACTACGTCTGTTTTTCGTTCTACTCCACTCTAATTCACTTTAATTTGATGCGATCCAGCGCCGGACTAGTTTGGTTCGACTGAGGCTACGCAAAATCTATTCCACAGATAGTTTGGTGAATGCATGTTTAAATCTAACAAGACGAAATTATTTATCAGCGGCAAGAACGTGCAGAGTTCACCTAGCATCATTTCATAATTGCACTTGCCTGTGGCTCATGCAATTACATAAACTTTCAAAACATCCCTTGCTTCCCCTGATCAGATGATGCACCCATGTTCATTCAATGATCTGTTTACTATTTTCATCGCAAAATCACGTACCAACGGCAGTTGTTACGTTTTTAACGGGAGAAGTACAGTACTCAAAACACTTTCAAAGGTCTGGAAAATGAAGCTACGTTTTCTTGGAATGGATTGCTACCTACATTTCTTCTTTTGGAGCATTTTAGCACTTACGTTGTTGTATCTATTTACGACAAGGATCTATTTTGAGAGAGAGCAATACAGAAATCCCGTATTGAATTCTACAACCTATCTATTTATATAATATTTTCCAAACAGGAACAAGATATTTTTTATTGAAACTTGTTTTTTTTTTAAATTCTGACAAACCCTTTGACAGTCACATTTCGTGCACCAATTCTACGCTATTTCTGCATTGTTGCATCTCGACTAGCCTGTAAGCCTCATCTTGGGGAAATTCAATAAAAGTGGAATATTTGTGTACTGTGGCTAATTCCATTCGGGATTTTAGTGAGATGAATGTAAATATCCATGATCTAGATTTGAAGAGATTATATAGAGGGCAATACGAGATTTGGCACTGCACTCCTTCGAACGTCAGGTATTAAAGGTAAATAAACAACTTAAACAACACCAAAAAGTATCAAGCTTGGATTGTCTCTCTAACTATTGCACAAATGATGAATTCAAAGGAAACATATAAGCGTTTTCCTAACGGGGAAATTGTTAAAAGTAATTTGCTCCGACAAAGGATTATGATCTTTACAATCTCTTGGCACCGAAGACTTACCAAATGGCGTATACAATATAATTTGTTTCGAAAACAAACATGATTCCTCAGGCTTGCGTTTCGCAACGTTGTTCAGTCAAAATTATATGAAAAATTTTCAAATTGCACTTGCACTTAATCGAAGAATAAGCCTACAATACAATACAATACATTTTATTATTATGGCCATATTATACGAGGCTATCCTGTCGTAATATACCATGATAGCAAATACACAATAATAAATAAATATTTACATGTGCTGCGAAAAAAATATTCTCATGAGTTCAAATTCAGGTTAAAAGATGTGTTTCGATACATTTAAGAAGAGTTTAAAACAAAGTGGGCCACTTTCCTTTTATAAAACTTGAAATATCATTTATGTTCCGAATGTTTTCTGGGAGGTTGTATTCTTTTGCCCCGCGAAAGGCGAAAGAGCGTTTATCAGTTGATAATCTGCATTTAGGTAGATTTAACTGTGACATGTCTCTAGTGTTGCGTCCCGACACACTAAATCTGTCATGAAATAAATCGCAAAGATAAGGCGGTACCTGCTTTGTTCCACACTTATAGACCATCGTAAAAGTATTTAATAGAAGTTTTTGACGGACGCCTCGCCAACCAAGGGATTGGCGCGTAGCAGAGACATGAGCAAATTTTTTTGATACCTAGGATTATTCTGCAAGCGAAGTTCTGAATGAGTTGGAGCTTAGAAATGTTTTTGCTGGAGGTATAACCCCATACGGTAGAACAATAGAAAAGCCTGCTGAAAATAAGAGCATTGATAATTAAGGTAAGAGTTTTGTTGTCCAAAAGATGTTTAATTCTATTGATGCAACGTAGATTATACACTCAGGCAGTTCGAGGACAGGAGAGGGCTTAATATTCTTCCCCAATAGGACAACATGAGGTAGAGATAATTTTTGCGTTAGTTGTGGTACGCTATTGAGGTCATGGCAGCTTGGTGTCGTCTACATAGCCCACGGCTTCGCACTTCTTGGGAGCAGAGTGGGGGTTGTTGACGTACAACGTGAACAAAGCTGGACCGAGAATGGACCCCTATGCCACACCTACTGTCAGTGGGAGGGGTCGGATAGGACACTGCCGATCCTGACCACTTGCTTGCGTAATGATAGGTAGCTCTTAAACCAGGCCAGAGTGGGGTCAGACACCCAGTAGGTGCAGCCTCGATAGTAAGTTTTCCCGTTGGATGCTGTCGAAAGCTTTAGACATGTCAAGTAGTACAACAACAGATATTCGTTTTCATCCGCATTCTGAAGGAGCTGATCAGTATAGTGTAGTCGGGCGGTTTCAGTGGAGTAAAACTTTCTATTTCCTCTCTGTAAGCCGGATATCTTGCTATTTTTATCCAAGAAGTCCATAAACTGTTAGCAGCCTTCTCGCATACCTTTGACATTATCGATAGGAGGGATATAGGACGGGTGTTTTCAGGGTGATCTAGATCGCCGGATTTGAGGTTTGGGATGACCACTGCGGACTTCCACACCTATGCAAAGCAATTGGATGCGGACGAAGTATTAATCAGATTGGTAATAATGGGTAGGGTGACTGGTAGACTGTCTTTAAGCACTCTAGCGGATACTCTATCAAGCCCGGGCGCTTTGTTTGATGGAATATGCTTGACAATCTTTTCAGTGTCCTGTTCCGTCACAGCATGAAACTCAAATTTATTCGTATTTTAGAGATCGTCCGCAGCTGGCACCACGAGCTCGACTGACTCAACTGAGAAGCCATTGTGATGGCATAGGGCCTTAGCTTTAGCGGATGCAGCCACCTTTACCGAAACGTAGAAATCGTTAAATCTGTTCGCTTGGACCACAGGATCTTCGACAGTAGTGAGTGGTGGATCTTTGTTGGCTGGTTCCTTTTCTGCGATTCTCATCTCTCGGTTAGCTTCTTGCCCAAAAGATTAAAAAGCGCTCCAGTGGAGTTTGTCGTTTGTTTCACGCGCCTTTTTTGCCAGCTGTCGCGGGTTTTCATCAGTTGTTTGATCTCAGGTGTGATAAACGGATTCGGGCGTGACTTGATCTTGATGCGTTTAATTGGTGCGTGTTCACTCAGCGTGTCGAGGAATAACTCATTTTATTGTTTTTTTAGAGGGCACGGTAACGAATCTTGCAATCTTATTGGTTCTTTACCCGGTCAGTATTTTCCTATCTCTGCCCACGGGCAACGGTAACGCTTTCGTGAGTCGCCGAGTACATCCCAACTTTCGTTGTCATTTTTCATAAACATACCTCGTTTTCCGGCTGGGCAGTATTTTTAAGCAAACACGTCGGTCACTACCTCAAGCCGATAAATAACTTATGAATCCTCTCTTTTCTCTCTATCAAACCACTTTGGTTGACAGAAAAATATTGGTTTCAGAATGAATTTGTATAAACAATAGTGTCATTACGTTGGTTGACAAGCGGCCTAAAAATCGTCTGCAATTAATTTTAATCGTTCACAAAAAGTACCCAGAAAGTTAAAACGTGAGGTACTTGGTTACAGTTAAACTGAACGATGGAACTTTCATTCATTTAATATCTGAATTTTCTCGAGCAATTTGTTCATAGTGAAAGAGCGAGCGAAGTTTTAATTTAAGTTCTACAACAAACATACGCTCCTGGTGAGTCTTTCCAATTCCGTTCAATTTGGACATTTGTACCTAAATTGCACAACAGAAATTGAAGGAATATTTTGAGAAAAGGCCGGATTACATTCCCTTGTATCTCGTTGGAGTGTGCCGTTCGAATTTAGTTTTTGTGAAGGAAAGATCAGAGTTAAACACGCCATTACAGCAAACAAACGAGCAAACTCTCACAACTTCAAAATAAAAAAATTGAATTTACTCACAATTACTTTCCTCGCCGTTTACTTAATAAACAGACGTAAATCTTCGTACATGAATGAATGGTCGATGAGAGTGAATAATACTTTCCGTTAGATCATTAACTGGTTTTGAAGAAAACATTGTCGTGACAGTCCTTGCCAAACTAGTTCTGTTGGTTTTCAAATGTTCCTACGGTTTTTTTTTTCTTGCGCGCTCTCTAATTGAAAGGTGTCAGATTGTGACAGATACTTGTAAAAATAATGTTTCAAAGTTTGTTTGGAAGCCTTTTAAATCACCTTTATCGTTACGGAAATGAAAATGTTTCGCTGAGGCATCTCTCTTAAATTTGCATCACCTCTATTTTAACTACCATTTACTCACTCAAAAATTGTTCAGTCTATGGAAGATCTTGCCGTATTTACGGCCATAAATCATTCGGGTTCTTTCGGAAAGAATTTCGTCAAGTTTAAAAACAATAAATATGTTATTTACCGGCTAAGGGTCGGTCCGTATGGTGAAAAACTGTGACCTCGGTCTTGAAAATGCTGCCCTCGGCCTACGGCCTCGGGCAGTATTTTCAAGACCTCGGTCACAGTTTTTCACCATACGGACCTCCCAGCCGGCAAATAACATATATGAATACATCAACTTGGCCATCGATTTCGTCAAAAATATTAACAAT